GCGATGTGAATCCAGGATTTCACTTTTATGCAGCAGAAGGCACTGCACTGAACATATACGATATAACTGGATCAGCACATTCGAGAATCATCCAATGCCTGAAGTCCACTAAACCCCAAGCAGGTGTTGATCAGGACATGACAAGATTTGACGAATTGGCGGGTACACCGACACCGGATGGAACCACAAGAGAAGCCTCAGATGCCGAACCACCACATGATGATGGACTGCTTTCTACGACCGACGAGGAATCATAGGCTGATCGCGAGTCACATTTTATGGAAGTGTGGTGTGCAGAATTTCAAAAGGAAAGGGAACTGCTGGAGGCGACTCCACCAGAGGACCTCTTTACCATGCCCACACAGATGGTTCTATATCAAAGTGTGCTGATCACTGTAGCTGATGAACAGCGGAGACACCTGCCGAAGTGGGGGCGCACTCGCGACTCCGACACCGTGGAGACGTACTACGTCCCAATGTGTACCATGGTCGAAGACTGCCAACTACGGACTGGACTCAGACGAAAATGGTCAATATGTCGAACTCTGCTTCGCGGCAGAAGTGTCGAAGGTAGTCCTGTCCGAACAGCGGCGCATGATGCTAGTTGCTGACCGTGTGACCACTGCGCGGGTATGCGTTACCGCCGCTGCAGAGCGAGCTGTGGTCGTCAAGGAAGACGACCTCCTTGCGAAAGCTGACATCCAGGCGAATCCCGATAAAGTATCAAAGGCCCTCTGCACTGAACTCAAGACATGGTTCGACAACAAGTGTTTCAATCTGCAAGATATAGCTAAAGCGTCGAACATCATGACTTCGAGGTACGTGAGCAAGTGGAAGTTTGTGAAGAACGACAGGGGCGAGGTGGAGCGTGCCATCATATTACGCCTGGTACTCCGTGGCTTCATGGACCTTGAAGCTTTCGACGTAGAAACCTTTTCGGGCACGTTGCGACGGTCAAGCCAGAGGCTACTCGCTAGCACGGCAGCGTGCAAGAAGCAATGGATCACTGCTTCCCTCGACATCAACATGGCCTCCCTGAAAGGGGTTGACCTATCAGGAACTTGCTGAGGCTACCGGTGGAAAGGAACGTGTGGCGTGTTTTACTCTGCCGCCTGGATCGGCCACAGTGCTTCGAAGTCTCCCAGGATTCGAACGCTACGACGAGTCAAAGCATTGCTTGCAGTGCTTGAAACCAGGCACGGGCACCAAGAACGCACCGCGAGTTTTCCCATTAAATCTCAGAAGGACCACCAGGGGTTTTGGTCTCCGACCCACGTCCTACGAGGAGGAGCTCGAGACGAGCAACGCCCTGCTCACGGCCACGCATGTTGATGATACCGATCTGGCCGGTACTGAGAACACCATTGACAAGTGTGGGAAATCCGTAGAAGACACCTTTGGTAAGTGTACACTCAACAAGCACACATGCACCAACTGTGCTGTGATATGGACCAAGGATGGGGACGGTGATGCCACTTTGGACCAATATGAATACATCAAGCAGCTCCGTCCCGTGCAACATCCTGAACTTACCGTCGCCGACGCTAGCGCTCAGGCATCCAAGATGATTGCAGACATGTTCGTCAGCCTCAGGGGCGAGCTGGCGTATGCATTAATCACCCAGGTGTGGTTGATGGTGCATGTTGTATCTCTACAACGTGTCTAAGAACCGGCCAACATCCAAGTGCGACGACTGAGCGCGATCACCAGGAAGCTGCAGGCCTGCCCACAGCTGATCGCCTACCAGGCGATGACTCCTACGAGAGAGGTTGACCTGCACAGCGACTCAGGATACCGACGCCTGAGTGGAGACGACGACGACGACGTCAGAGTCCATGGTATTCGGGGGGCAAACCTGCTACGACGTGGACGCGCGTCATCCGGTAAACCTGTCGTTCGCTTGATCGATGCGTGCCGCAAGTCTCACCGCTTGCAGGTCCGCTCGAGCTATTCAGCAGAGACACTAGCAGCATCCCATAATTTGGAGGACTGTTATCCCACGGTTGTGACTCTGCACGGCCTCCACGCAGGGCCTCTCGCGCCCGCTCAGTTGAAATATATGCTTGAAGTGGGTGGCCTGAGCATCAGGGTCACTTTGACCATAGTTCCAGCGTTTTTTTTTTTTTTTTTTTTTTGTTTCTCTCCCCCCCCCCCTTTCTTTCTTCTTCTTCTTCCTCTTGTTTCTTCTTATACATATAAAACCCTTGTCAAGGAAAGACTTGAAGAAGCCGGCTGATTGTACCCTTTTAGGGCACATCATTTGAATGCGACAGATAATGGAGCGTGGAATCGTGCGCAGTATTCAGTGGTGCGACACCCGCGACATGAATGCGGATGGTCACACCAAGGGGAGCATCGACAGAGAAATGCTCATACAAGTCTTGGGAGGTATACAGGCCTTGGAACATGACCTGAAGAGTCATGCTCCATATCGGGCCGTCCAGACATCTAGTTCTGACGCCGCCTGAAGAGTACTTTAAGTACAGAGCTGTACAAGCAAGGCAACTTGCGAGCGGGTCCACCTTCCTTCTGGCCCGCCCCTTTTTCTGTCCTTGTGCATATTAGCTGCTGTGCCTGCTGTATAGGGGCGACGGGCTCACGCTTCGTCTCCCTCCCCCCCCGACTCTAAAGCGAGCTGAGGGACGTGAGGAGCGGAAACGAGCGTGCGCCCGCGGACGTGTCGGCTCAAGCGGCCGACCGCCCAAATATGACTGTGCCTCATCGCGAGGCACACGATTGCTATCGAGACCGAAAGGGCCTTCCTATTGCTTAAGATGGCACATCCTCTCCTACTGGGACTATCGTAATTACGGTACAACAGAGCAGGAGCTTGGCTTCGCCTCGGGCGAAGCTGCTGGCTGGGCCTCCCAGCCCCCTTCAAACTCAAGACACCCACCCGCCCGCAAGCCGTCTAGCTCACTCCTGCCCGCCCTCCTTGCACATTAGTAACACCCCGAGCCTGAGCATGTTCAGCGGTTGTCTTTGGATGGACAGCTACTGGGAACCAAAGCCGACCCCAGGTGCGCGACGTTTGGGCGAGGTGCGCCATGCGTGCCAGGGGCGCCACGTGCGCCAGGCTCCCCTGGGGCCTGAGCGTACCAGGCACGCATGTTGCGCCAGATGCGCCACGTGCTCCGAGTGCGCCAGGTGTGCCGCACATTCCAGCCGCGCCAGGTGCGCCGCGTTCGGGGCATTTGCAGGGTGCGTCAGGTGCGCTTGCGCTCGTGACAACACACATCGGGAAACATGTCGGCCCCCACCATCCTTGTCGAAAACTGATGCCCATCATTGTGTCAGCTGGGCCTGCGCACAGCAGGCCACGCGCCATCACCCCGGCCGCCCCCTATCAGAAACCACTTGACAGTGATTGCGGGATGGCCGCGCATGATCCAGATTTCGCCGCGAGGTGAATGTTTTTTTGTTGTTGTTTCGGTCAGGGATGGAAGCCGTGCGCGCAGCAGGGAATCTGCTGACACCCCCGCCGTCCTTGTCAAAAACAATTTGAAGTACTCGCGGGCCTCACGAACACGACTCAAGAATTTGCCCCAAAGTGTACTTTACCTTGATTTTCGACAGGGATGGTTGGGGTGGTCGCATCGGTTTGGCAGCGCATGCTCCAAATGTGGAGGCGGAGTGCGGTTTGTATTGTTTTTTGACAGGGATGGTGGGGGGTGGGCGGGCATGGTGTCGACATAGTGCCTGGTTGGCCCCAGTCGCCTGGGGGAGGGGGTGTATATCCATAAGAAACAGTGGTGGAACCCTCCCCGACGGGGAAGGAAGGGGATGGTTAGAAGAGGAGCTTCCCTAGACCACCTGCGCCCAGAGGGCTGGTGGGACTACGGGCTGCGCCTGTAAACAAGTGCTTGCGGGGCCCCGAACATCACCCAAGATTTTGCCTCAAAATGTATTCTTGATTGTTTTTTGACAGGGGCGGTGGGGGGGTGTTGTCATTGGTTCGGGTTGGCTGCTGGTCGCCTGGTGGGAGGGGGTGTTTGTAATAAGGAACAATGATTAATTCTTCCCAGATGCGGAAGAAGGGGGAATATGGATGATGAAACGCTCTGAACTACCTCAGCCCAGATGGTTGGTGGAATTTAAGGGCATGTCTTTATCAAGATCTGAGGCGCCCAAACGCGCTTAATCAATGCGACCTGTTGAATCCCGTGACGATTTACGCATCGTCGTTTCCGCTTGAGAGTTTCTCGCAACATAGGTTCCCAGATCCCCCAGCAAACGGGTAATCGGTTCCGTAATCTCCTGCTCGGGGAAAATGAAGGAAGGGAGCGCTGGTTCGTGCCTCTTGACGGACGGAAATTCTGGATACACGATGGCGCACGTGTCAGGAACGTTGCACATGCCCTCGCCCCCTGCTTCTGCAGAATCTATTTCACGCGAGTGGACAAACAGCGGGGAGTCGGGGAGTCGCACCATTCCGATGTTAAGGCGTTTGCTGTTTTTTTTTTTGCTGGTGCGGTCAGTTTTGGATTCGTATTGGTTCCAGTTGGCGCTGCGCACAATCTCTGCCCTTCAACCTAATAATGTGGCGAGTGGTCTTCGATGACCGCACACGGATCACACAATGACGCCTGCATTGTGAGAAATGGCCCCACCGCCTGCAGACGAGACATATTACCGGTCGGGCGTCTTTCTAATGAAAGAGTGGGCGCCATTAATGAAATTACAGTGATCATTGTGTGGGGTGGATTCATAATAGAAGCTTTTCCATGCGCCCTGCCGCCATCAGACAGATGGGCCGACCCAGCTTGCTCTGCAGTCTTCTAAATGCATGAAGAGGGGTGCTTCTGATTGAAGAGACTTCAAGACTCCCCAGGATGTGTCAAGGCCCCAAGATGCCCGTAGAAGGCCCGAGGCCCCAAGAGTCTCTCAACTTATCTTATTTCTCGTCCGTTCTCTCTTGTTCCCAGTCCTTTTTCATCCCAGGACTGCAGGGTGGGTCTGACAGGCGCGCGCGCGCGTATATTTTTCAAATGCGCGAACAGGTCAATTCCCTGGCGCTGCACACCAACTTCCCCATAGTGTCGGGAACGTCGACGTTTCCTGCGCTGAGCGACAGGGCGAAGTACCCGAACTTCTGGAGGAGGGCGCGGTCTCTGCCGCACTGCGCGCGCTCGCAATGTTGGCGCTACGCTGGGATGAATTGAACGGAGATGGTAGACGGCATGGGTTAGCTGTTGCAGCAAAAGATCGCGTGTGTAGGGCGCGTGGCATTCGCTGCTCGTGTTTGTGTGTGCGTGTGTGTTCTTTCTGCAATTGGCACCTCCACCTGCCGACCGCGCCCAAGGTTCCTCGGCGCCGTGTGTTCTTTCCGTTGCTGTCTCCTTGAGGCTTCAATTAGCTCCAGACTGCTGCTTGCGCTTCAAACTGCCCGCGTCGAGCTATGTTCCTCGGGTTTTTTTGGCCGCTGCACTTTGGCATTGCAGCGCCTCCCGGTTTTCACCACCAATCTGCACGGCCGTGATTGAACTCTTGCATCATGGCGCGTTCGACTAAGTTCGGATCGATTGGCACTTCCGCCAGCCGACCGCGCCTGAGGTCCCTCTGCGCCGCCGACTTACAAGTGTGTGTGTGTGTGTGTGTTCTTTCTTCCTGACGACACTGCGCGCGCGGCTCTGGCCGTGCGGGCGCCCAACACGCTGGCGAATCGCCGCGCTGTTGCGATCGAAAGTGTGTGTGTGTGTGCGCGTGTGTGCCTATATATATATATATATACATGATCCCAGGCTCCGGGCCCACGGCTCCCCCCCCAGATGGGATGGGCCTCAGGGCCCTTCGGGCCCCACCCCCTGGATGTGATGGGGGGGAACGACTACGACGACGACGACGATGACGACGACGACGACGGAGACGACGACGACGACGACGACGACGACGGCGACGGCGACGACGACGACGACGACGACGACGGCTGCGGCGGCGGCGGCGGTGCCGACCTCCGGAGCCTTCCACCCCCGACGACGGCGGCGGCGGCGACGACGACGACCTCCGCAACTCTCGTGGAACACCACAGTACCACGCCACACACGCCACACCCACAGCACCACACCACACCCACAGCGGGGGGGGGGCCATCGCGTGGGGTACGGGGGGGGGCGATGGCATCAGCATGAGGGGGGGGGCCCAGACCCTGGACCATATATATATATATATACACACACCTATACGACCGCCCTGCGGGCGATAATGAGGTTGGGGGGGATTTAGATCAAATGCCCACCCTGACTGACCTCCAGCCTGTCACCTTGATCTCATCTCTCTCTTTCTCTCTGTCTCTCTCTCTCTCTGTCTCTCTCTCTCTCTCGCCCGATTGGAAGAGATGGGTTGGATTGGAAATGATGGAATGGATAAGATAAAATGGATTGGACTGGCCCGCCGCAGGCGCAGAAACACAATAATTGATGGATTGGTTGGATGGGTTGGATTGGGTGGGATAAGATAAGATGGGACAATATGGGTTGGATAAGATATGATGAATTGGATTTGACAAGATGGAATGGATACTATAAGCTGTATTTGATAAGAAAGCCCGCCGCAGGCGCCGACAAACATGAATTGATGGATTGTGTTGGGTGGATTGGATTGGATGGGATAAAATGGATAGGATAAGATAAGATGGGTTGGATTGGAAGAAATGGATTGGATAAGATAACATGGATTGGATTGGCCCGCCGCAGGCGCAGAAACAAATGAATTGATGGATTGGGTTGGGTGGATTTGATTGGGTGGGATAAGACAAGATGGGACAATATGGGTTGGATAAGATAAGATGGATTGGATCGGACAAGATTGATTGGATAAGATAAGCTAGATTGAATAAGAAAGCCCGCCGCATGCGCCGAAAAAAATGAATCATGAAATTGTTGTCGCTTCGCGAATCCCCACCAGCCCATCCAGAAACGATGCCCAGAGGAATTGCCTCGATCAGAGAAGTGGGCAGCACACAGAGGAAGCCATTATGAGACATCTTGGGATATCTTGAGCCATCTTGGAGGTCATTTTGGGCTCTCCCAGACGCTCTTGGAGTCATCTTAATCCGTGCCCCCCCCCAAGAGGCCTCCATGTGGCTAAAACCTGTGTAGAATCAATGATTAGGCATTCTCGCCGAGGCCTCTTGGAGCATCTTGGGTGCATCTGGGGGGGCTCTTGGGGCCTCTTGGGGGTCTCTTGGGGGCCTCCGGGGGGCCTCTTGGGGGCCTCTTGGGGCCATCTTGGGGCTTGGGACCTCTTGGGGCTTCCTGGGCGCTTCTTGGGGCCATCTTGGAGGAGATCGATCAAACAAGAGGGGGGGTTTAATTAGCGTCCCCCCTCGGAAGCCCCTAAAATCGCCTCTTGGACCCCTCTTGGAACGCTCTTGGAGTGCTCTTGGGCGCTCTTGGGGCCGTCTTGGGGCTCTTTTGGGGCTCTCTTGGGGCCCTCTTGGGCCATCTTGGAACCATCTCCAGGCCTCGGATGGCCATCGGAAGCGAAAAGGCGAGAAAGCAAAAATCATTGATTTTCCTTAGGTTTTGGGACGATTTTGGCCTCTTCGGGGCCTCCTTGGGGAGCTGTTTGGCCACTTGGAGTTATCTTGGGGCCGTCTTTGGGCTTCTTGGAACCATCTTAGGAGCCATCTCGAGCGATCTTGCGCTATCTTGAGCCATCTTGGAGCTCATCTTGGGTTCTCTGAGGCGCTCTTGGAGCCGTCTTGGGCCATCTGGGACGCTCTAACTACCCGCGGCCCCCCCCGTCCAGGTCCAGGGGAGGGGGTAGGGGGAGGGGTAAACCCCTCCCCAAGGGGGAAGAGGGAGGGGTGGAAGAGGATCTGCTCTAGACCACCTACGCCCAGAGGGCTGGTGGGATTAGCGACATGCGTCAGCGCCGGGACGCCCGGGACACCCGAAACACCCGGGACACCGCCCGGCCCAACTGGGACACCTCCTGGCCACCGGCGGACGGGAAACGCGCAGCGCGCTCGCGCAGTTTAATCCCTCCTGTCGCCGTCACCTGGGTCGGAGGCCCTGACGAAAGGGTGGCGGCGACAGTGGCAGTGCCGCAGCGCGCCCAGAGTCCAGCCATGCATGACGGTGCAAACCCGACGTCTGGCTGGTGCACTGGGGGGCGGGTCCTGTGCTCAGGGGAGGCTGTGAACCACCGCCCAATGATATGATGTCAGTGTAACCTGCTGGATGGGCCCTTTCCATTTTTTCTGTGTATTTCAGCTTTGGCTCCAGCTTCCGCTGCGGGTGCACTGCGAAGCGCCTTCAGGAACAGTTTACCCGTGTCGGCTTTCCGCTTACATGGGCGCTTCCCTCCCCACTAGCTTTTTTTGTTTTCGCGCGCATCTTGTGGCTTTCCCTGCCCCCGTGAGACGCCCGTCTTCGGCGCATTTCTTGTATGATATCGCGGACCAGTTGCTAGTTCGTTGCTATTAGATAGAGGTTTGCCACCCAGGAGCGCATGAGGCATTGCGCTGGCGATCCACTTGCTTGGCGCAATTTTATAATTCATTTTGCGAAATCCCAGTCTCGTTCTCCTGCTTTGTCCCCACAGGGGAAGCTTCAGCGATAGCTCATTATGTGCCTTTGTTTCGCCCATGCGCTACGGGGTATGGCATGACTGACTGGCTGATTGGCGGATTGCTTGACGTTTCAATTCTGGCGGCGGGTCGCCGGCTTTTGCGGGTTGACCGCGCCAGCATCGGTGCTTTGATTGATGGGTTGTCTTCTCTGGGTCCTCCTCGCCTGCTTTGCGTTCCTTCGAAGGTTTTGTGGATTATCAGTTTCACCGGGTACCGAGACGATGTTCAATCCCTGAGCAATCTAAGCGCACGGCTTCGCTGCAAATGGCAGACGAACGCAGCACATTTTCCGCAGATGCATTTTTCACGGCACTGCAGCGCCAGACGCAGCGAGAGCAGAGAGAACCGTGCGAACCTTGTTTAATGAGATGGGAAACATATTGTCTTCTCTTCGGCGGCGGATAGCCAGCCCAGCGGAGGCGGAAGTAAAGCGAGGGCGGCGAAAGGCCGGCGAAAGGCTGGCGGGAGCCGGCGGAAGTAGCGTATCGAGCCTGGGTGCCTTTTGGGCGGCTTTCCATCTGATTCTGCTGAGCTTTTCGTCAGTGCCGGCGCCCTCCGCCTTCCCTGCTCCCCCTCCTGTCCCCCATTTCTCCCCCCGACCCCGCCCTCCCGAGGCAGCAGCCACTTGTTGGCTTTTTCCGTCGCATTGTTCCCCGACTCTTAGAGGGTGGGGAGATGTGGTATGCGGCGCATCTTGCCGCTTTTGCCGAGTCCCTCCCCAGAGGGCCTCGATGATACGCGTACCTTTTGATTGTATGCTGTCTCTCTCTCTCTCTCACTCTCTCTGCTGTGCTCGTTAGTGGTTTGAGGATTCTCGTGATACGTCTTGGCGAGAATCCATCCCTCGTGGGGAGGCCGTGGCCCCCGCCCTCCTCAGGGGAGGAGGGAGGGCTGCCCGTACAGAGGCGTCCTCCTGCTGGAGGGCGCGTAGGCGCGGGGCTGGGGCACGACGATGCTCACCGCTCACCTGTCTTTGCTCGCTCTTTGTGGGGTTTCTGGATTAGCATCATGGCTATACCAGCGCCGTCCACACGGTAGGCCAGAGCCCCCCACACAAGAATTCCCGAGCCGAAGAGTCATCGGGGGTAGTGCGCGTCCGGAAGTAACACATGTCCCCCATTTGAGAATTTCCAGGGTTTCTGGAGCGGGCCTCATTGTTGTGCCTTGTCCGTCGCGATCACAATATCACCGTCAACAGTATCAACCATTTGTCTTTTTCACCGCCATCGTTCGCCATCATATCCAATGCGGTCTCGCGGGCATAAGCTCATCCTGCCACTAAGCTACAACTGCTCCAGTCATGCCGTTGACTCCCCGTTGGAGGACACCTGGAACTGACGCTCCTCCCGTCACGCCCGCACCAAACCTTCCAGGATGCAACTCCTGGGAGGTTGAATTCAACATCGGTGCTGGTAGATCTGTTGT